CGTTTGAGTCTGACTACTTCACACTCATTTAATCTTTTCTTTATTTTCATGACTATTTACAGTGTAGATTGTCACTGAAGGCATCAACTTATGTAGTGAACACAAAAGTGTGAAATAACTCAAAACATGTTTTTCAAAATAGCATCCCTTTGCTTTGATTACTGCTTTGCACACTCTTGGCATTGTCTCTATGAGCTTCATGAGGTCATCACCTGAAATGGTTTTCCAACAGTCTTGAAGAAGTTCCCAGAGATGCTGAGCACTTTTGCCTTCACTCTGTGGTCCATCTCATCCCAAACCATCTCCATTGGGTTTAGGTCAGGTGACTGTGGAGATCAGGCCATCTGGTGCAGCACTCCATCATTCTCTTGGTCAAATAGCCCTTACACAGCCTGAAGGTGTGTTTTGGGGTCATTGTCCTGTTGAGAAATAAATGATAGTCCAACTAAAGGCAAACCCGAGAGGATGGCATGTCGCTGCAGGATGCTGTGGTAGCCATGCTGGTTCAGTGTGGCTTCAGTTTTCAGTAAATGCCCCACAATGTCACCAGCAAAGCATCTTCACCCTCCTCCTCCATGCTTCATGGTGGGAACCATGAATGTTCACCTTTTCTGCATCACACAAAGACACAGCGAGTGGAACCAAACATCTCAAATTTGGACTCATCAGACCAAAGCATAGATGTCCACTGGTCTAATGTTCATTCCTTCTGTATCCTCGCCCAAACAAATCTCTTCTGCTTGTTGCTTTTCTTTGGAGTTGTTTCTTAGCAGCTATTTGACCATAAAGGCCTGATTCGTGCAGTCTGATCATTTGATGTAGAGATGTGTCTGCTACTGGAACTCTGTGTGGCATTTATCTGGGCTCTAATCTGAGGCTGCTGACTCAGATGAATTTATCCCCAGTAGCAGAAATGACTCTTGGTCTTCCTTTCCTGGGCGGTCCTCGTGTGAGCCAGTTTCATCAGAGCGATTGATGGTTTTGTGACTCCACTTTGGGACACATTCAAATTTTGACTGACTTAGATTCAGATCTTAAAGAAATTACAGACTATCGTTTCACTTTACTTATGCGATTGGTTGCCATAAAATGAACTCTAACAGTTGTCAAATAAGACAGTCAGCTGCGTACCATCCTGACTTCTGCACAGTACAACTGATGGTCCCAACCCCATTAAGAAGGCAAGAAATTCCACAAATGAACCCTGACAAGGCACACCTGTGATAGAAAAAACATTTGTCAACAAAGCGTGGCTACTTTCAGGAATCTAAAATATAAAACATATTTAGAGCTGTTTATCAATGTTTTCTTTGCTACATAATCCCATATATCTTGCTTAATAACATTTGATGTATCTACAATATAGAAAGTAGTAAAAATAAAGAAAAAACATTAAATGGAAAGGTATGTCCAAACCTTTGACTGGTAGTGTATGTCATTTGGACCAACCACCTTTGCACTCTTCATTCTCTTCATAGCTGCCCTCACTTCGTCCTTTCTTATCCATGATCCACCCATCTTACTCTCTCTTACATTTTCCACACCCATCAGTTCCTCAAAAGTATTTCTTCCATCTTGTCAACAC